TGGCAGCGGTAAGAGTCGTAGGAGGTTGTGCGGATGTGGCTTGCGGTGTCTGGTGGGCACGTATGCGGTTCGTGCAGCTCGTCAACGGTATCGACTTTGTCTCGAGAATAGGATCTGAGGCCTCGTCGTCTGATTCCTCGTCATCGTCCTCTTCATCCTCCTTCTCCATTCGCGACAGACTGCTCATCTTCATGACCATAATCTGGTTCTCCTTGTCCCTTCCTTGCGCTGCTTGTGTGCCGGCCACCGAGTAGACTGTTGCAGGGTATGTTTTGCGGTCTGCGCCTAGATTGTCGGGTACGATGTCGCATGAGAGACAGGGCCATGGCGCTTCAAGCGCGTGAAGCATCTCATATGTAGAAAGATCGGGGTTCAATGTCTCGCCTGGTGAGAGTTTGTGTCGACCGGGAATGAAAGTATCTTGGTCCACATCCATGCCATCTGGAGGCGTTAGTTTTTGGATTTTCGACATTTTCCTCCGGCAACCTACTCTCGCGCTCCTCAGCTTCGCGCTCTTCGTCTGGTCGTCCGTCTACACCTGCCTCGAGAATCTCATCCTCGCTCTCGAATTCATCTTCGAATTCATCCTCAAACTCGCCCGCTTCGTTGTGTTGATCGATTTCCATGGGGCGATCTCCATTTTTGATAGCCTCCTGCTCTTGCTCTGAGTCTGCGGGTCGCTTCGCCATGGTGTGTGAGTGTGTGCGGTTGTGTTTTGGGGTGTCTTGTGGTAGGCGTAAAAAAGTTGGCGCTGGAATTTGTCCCGCCAAATGTTTTTTGAGGCGGCTTATCGATCGGCGTATCGGACCACGCTATGACGCCCCCCTCTCTCAGGTGCCCACCGGGGCTGTTGCGTGCATCTCTGGAGCGAAACACTGCGCGCTACCCCCAGTCCAATCGCATCCCGCACATCCCAGGTCAACACCACAGAGGCCGCGCCCATATACCGTGTCTCCCCCTTAAAGTTGCATAGAATTGTTCGAGAAGCAGAGTCGCCAAGGAAGAAGAAAACACATTGTCAGGTTGCATTCACCGTCTTGACGCGTGCCAGCGCGCTTTCAGCTCAGATCAACAACCGCGGGGACGCTGAGACATACTAGCCATGGAGCCAGAATACTCGAGTCAGGAACCCGCGCAGCAGCCCTACGTAGCTGCCACAGAAGTGCAGCACGTACAGCAAGTGCAGCCTGAGCAGCTGCCGCCCCAGCAACTGCAACCCGAGCCAATGCAGCCCGAGCAGGTGCCTATCGAAGCGGAACAGGAAGCGCAGAAGCACATGGACCAGACCATGGACGTCGCCGACGACAGCATGAGTTCGACTATCACCGCCTCGACTGTCACACCGCTACCAGACCTCACCCAGAACGCGAGCCTTAATAACAGTCCCAACCCCTACGAGCAGCCTCACCGACCCTCAACGTCCTACTCAGACACCGCGTACCAGTACACGACACACAACGGGACGCGCTTCAACACATCATCAGACGCCGACACACCCCCACGGCACGGCTACTACGATGCCAACAAAGAAACACACATGGGCCAGTCGCATTCGCGGCCCAGCTCGCAGATGGGACGCTATCCGACTTCGGAGGGCAACACGCGGTCAAACTCATATCAAGACCAGCGAGGGAGCGCCCAACAGCAACAACAGGAGGCCGCCAAAAATGCCAGCGTCGTCATCAAGGTCGGCATGGTCGGGGATGCGCAGATCGGAAAGACCAGTCTGATGGTCAAGTATGTTGAGGGCAGCTGGGACGAAGACTACATCCAAACGCTCGGTGGGTTACACAGGCATGTTTCACAAACTGCAGATTCTGACAACCACAGGCGTCAACTTCATGGAAAAGACCATCTCGATCCGGAACACGGAGATCACCTTCTCCATTTGGGATTTAGGTGGTCAACGTGAATTCGTGAACATGTTGCCGTTGGTCTGCAACGATGCTGTTGCAATACTCTTCATGTTCGACCTGACACGAAAAAGCACATTGAATTCCATCAAAGAGTGGTACAGACAGGGACGCGGTTTCAACAAGACTGCCATCCCGTTTTTGGTTGGCACAAAGTACGACCACTTTGTCAACTTCCCGCGCGAGGAGCAGGAGGAAATATCTAATCAAGTACGAGTCCCTGCCAAAGACAATTCAGAGCCGCAGGACTAACAGCAACTAGGCTAAGCGATTTGCGCGAGCGATGAAGGCCAGTCTAATATTCAGCTCAACCAGCCATAGCATCAACGTGCAGAAGGTGAGAGCTGTCCATACCCATTGCTAAGCCCATGCTGACTCTGCTTCAGATCTTCAAGATCGTGCTATCCAAAGCCTTTGATCTGAAATGCACCATCCCCGAGATAGAAAATATTGGCGAACCCTTACTCCTCTACCAGGCCGTTTAGTCGCCGGCAGACCGTAGAGTCAGGCCCAGGACAGAGGGAACACGTATGAACCTGTCCGAGGGTCAGATTGGGCGCGTCTTCTACCGAAACGTTACCATGAGCGAATGATTTTCATGACTGTTTTGCGTGGGATTGCATGGCTCGGCGATTGGAGCAAGGTGCTAGATACATGGTTGGTCCAAAACCGGCGTTCTTCTGCTTGTATATGCGGAAGCGATTGTATGATTCGGGCAGCAAGGCCTCGGCCGGGGCACGGAGTCTAGCGCCGCAGGACGCGCAAGATTTGTAGCTTTACAGCAAACATCCTAGTGTAATACCGACTTGTCAGAATCGACTGCATCTTATTAGGTTTGCGTGACTTCCAATCAACGCGCATAGCGGCAAGTTTAGGCGAATGACGTAAGCTGCCGCAGCTAAAAAGTTACGGATCCCAGCAAGCAACACCAATCAACCCCAGCTCCAAAACCGCGTCTACAGAATTTGCCCCAGCACGAACGAGGTTACAACATCGAGAAACCGGGTCGCAAACCGATTAACACACCGAATATCAAAAGCAACCCATTGCCTTACCAGTAGGGTCGTCGTGGAGGCTGAACAAGAACGACTCGTGGGGATACAATCTTAGAAGAACAGCTTCAACCCACCACCACAATGGCGCTTCCTTCAATAGCGCTCCCAGGGCAACTGCTCGGAAGTGTCGACAAATACAGTCCAGGTCCTGGAACGCACATCCACGACTCGCAAATCTACGCCTCAATAGCTGGCCCCGTTTTCTCTTCGCCATCACATCCCTCCACGCAAAGCGCATCATCCAAGTCCGGCAAACTCGCGCCGCTCCTCTCAATAACGCGTCCTCCCACCTCCACCGACCCCGGTATCCTCGGTCCCAACTCTGGTGGCGGCGTGCCCCTCCTCCCAACCGTCTCAAGCACAGTCCTCGTCCGCATAACGCGCCTCGGCCCACGCTTCGCGAGCTGCGAAATTCTCGTCATTGACAACGCCGTATGTCGCGAAGCCTTCCTCGCGCAGATCCGCCGCGAAGATATCCGAGCTACAGAGAAGGATAAGATAAAGATTGAGGAGAGCTTCAGGGTGGGTGATTTGGTCAGAGGTACGGTCATTAGTCTGGGAGATAGCGGAAACTACTATGTCGCTACGGATCGCAACGAGTTTGGCGTTGTGTTGGCTAGGAGCGAAGAGGGGAGGGTTATGCACCCGGTTAGTTGGAAGGAGTTTAGGGATCCGGTCAGTGGGAAGGCGGAGGCGAGGAAGGCTGCTAAGCCGTTTTGATGGAAGTTATGGAATGCAGGGGACAAAATGAAGAGTGAGAAAAGTCACATTGCTGAGCGAGGATGGCAATAGGCGAGAAGATACCCATGATGTGGATTGAAGAATAAGATCAAGTACCTTTGGCACGCGAAGAAGACTTTAGCGAGCTAGAGGAGGCATATGTCCTTTGGAAAATGACGCAAATTTTGTCCAAGAGCCCTGAAACTGGGTAACGATAACTGCTATCGAATACATGGGGCGCTCTCTTGCTTGCACCAGCCGCGAATGGCCCTATTCTTCCCATTTCCTCGGCCTCAGGCACACAGCAACCTTTACAACAGCATCATCAACGGAAGAAGCCGCTGCACACCAAGATCTAGCTGAGACAGCGAGGGGCCACGAGCTAAATATACCTCTTTCCTTCCTCCTTCTTCCAAACCCCCGGTGGCGAAAATAGCAACAAAGCAAAACCAAACACGGTCGCAGCGATGGATGTGACAATACTCTCGGTACCTGCATCGTGACGCGTATCATGTATGCAAGGCCGGGGAATCACACCCAACACGTAGTGTTCCATGACTCGAGGCAACACACGGGGCCAAGGGTAGTAGTAGCATGTGTAAGGTAACCCGAGAAGACGAGCTAAGTTTAGTGGCCAGGACTGCAGTCCTAGTGCTTCACACATGCATGTAGTTAGACCTGCACCACGAGAACGATTTAGAGTGAATTCGAAATGAACAGCGAATAACACATCGTTGCAATTGTGAGAAATAAAGTAGAATATACTACGATTGACGCTTTCGCTGTACGCGTCGAAAGACGTTTTTAAATGAATCATCCAGGTGCTCGCTGCACACAAATCCCCTATGATGTCGTCATGAAATAGCACAACGAGGTCGTCTCTGAAAAATTCCCATCTGTATCCCACCGCACCGTCTTAATCCTTCTCCTTTTTCTTCCCTCAGATTTGCTTCAAAAACACCCAAAATCGCAGCCCTTTCCCTAGGTATGAATGTGAATGGTACCAGGAACCGTAGATACGCCGAAACTCCGACCATGCTTGGGTCGACGCTGATCGCGTTGGATGAGCGCCTCTCGCTAATCATGCCACGCAAGATGCTGTAAAGATGACATCTTGTGTAATCCTTGATCGCAGTTCTGGTGCTTGGAAAACACTCCCTCTACCGTGTGTGCTGCGGTGATGTCGTTTACAACAGCGACGATCGTTCGACAGCAGTATTGAAGGAGGTCGTTCTCAACAATACCCATAGTCTTACAATGCTATCCTCTTCCAGACAGCAACGCCTCTTCTATTTGGTAGCGTGGCAGTCTTCTACAGAACGCCTCCGGGCAGGGGTGTCCCTCTATTCTGGTTACCCCACCCGAAGCTCTCTGTCTGCGGGTTGACGGGCCGTACATCGTTTCCGCCCACAGTACTGACATGGCCTTCTTGCGGTGCTGCATGCTTCCTAAGCATGAACATGGGTTTCCGGCCTTCCTTGTCAAGTTGTTTGAACAATATCAGCGGCCTCTCGTTGAGTCCAAGACAGCGCTCCTGATCACCGTGTACAATATACAGGGCATACTGGCGCCAATCTGCCGTAATGTTGTATTTCTTAAGCGCAACCGGAAGCACCTTGTGGCACGGATCGTCGATTGAGACTCGGAACGATTTGAAGATTTCAACTTGCGGGTTCGTAGATGGCGTGGATGCGGGATTGGATGCGGAGGTGTTCATTGAGCTTGAACCGCCAGAAAGTGGTGGGTCGCGATCGTCGGGGGTTGGTGTTGGTGCAGCGTTGTTTCGCATCTGTCGTGATGACAGTGGTGCGGGCGTAGCGCGGGGGTCGCGATTGCGGTCGGATACAGCAGTTGTGTCTGAATTCCATGTGTTCTGACTCCACCCTGAGCTGCCGTCGTGATCGTGCCCGCTTCGGGGTATTTCGCGGTTGTACTGGCGGCCTTGGCCTTGTGTGTATGCGGGGGATGTCGGGGAGGGCTGGGCGATGGAGTTGGGCGACAGTTGCGGGCCACCACCGAGAGATGCTGTGAGGTGTGAGGAGGCTGCGACGGCTGCTGCGGAGGGGTCCAAAGAAGAATGATCGACAAGAGCGCGATGTTCTTGGATTGTTGGAGAGGGGTTCTTTGGCGCGGATCCAAGGAAAAGCTTCTTGGTAGAGAACTTACGCGAAAGACTGCTGCCACCAGATCTCTCTTGAGTTGCAGGTGGCGATGTGACGGAGTGCTCGTGAGGCGTAGGCAGGGGTTGGTTGTCCTTGAGCATGCGCACGAGTGGCAGGATCTCCTCTCGTAGCCGCTTGTTCTCGTCCATGACCCTGCTGAGGTCTTCTCGGAGATGTCGCAGCTCCGATTCGGCCGTGTGTATGCGCTCGTCGCGCGCCTGGACTACGCGAATGACCTTGGCGAAGTCGTCTTGGGTTGGCGGCGCTTCCTGTGCCGACGTATCCGCGGCTGAGGTGGTGGTTAGACGTGCAACGCCATGGCAAAGGCAATGGACTCACATAGCGGGACGTAGTCGTCGGGGTCCATGGGCACATTCTGCCGCACCTTGATCTCGTAGACGGCCTTGAGGATTGTCAGGCGGTGGCCTACGCTGCCGACGCCCAGCTCCTTCAGCTCGGCATGCTGGAGGGCGGCGAGCACGTCGCCGGTGATGCCCTCGTCTACAAACAATGGGTTAGCAAACAATGCTAATGGTGCGCGCGGTGCGACGTACTAGCAAAGGTATCCGAGTACTGCTCCAGGCCCAGGTCGGCGATGAAGTCGGCCGTCTGGTCCTCGTTCCACTCCATTATGTGCCCCGTCGGGCTGCTCTTGCTGTCGCGCGAATGGGTGAAGGTGGTGGGCGTGTGTTCAGTGCTCAGCGGGCCGGAGCTCGTGGGGGAGCTCTCGTACTCGGCGGGTAGGGTCGGGCTAGAGATGCCCTGGCGCTCAAACTCGTCATCGGCGTCCGAGTCCTCATGGTACTTGGTCGTGTAGGCCATGGTGGGCGTGACGTCGACGGCCTCGTCGGGAGTCGCAGGGTTGGCAGAGGGCGGAGGGAGGTGATGCTGCCAAGCCCTCGCAGCTTGCTCGTCGAGGGGACGACGTCTGTGTTATCGATGGCGATGTCGCGCAGGCCGGGCGGTCCAGTGTCGTCGATAGGGCACCCTGTCTGAGACGAAGCGAGATTGAGCCGGCGTGTTTCGTCTCCAGCGGGAGCAGGTCGGGCTATCCTGGGCGCAGTCTCAGATACACTGCTAGCCGTGGCACGCAAGAGTGCAGGGCGGGGAGGGTGAAGGTCTTCGCAGGCGGCCAGGCGTGCCGGTCCCTAAGCGCTTTGTCGTCGACGCCTGATGGGGAAGCGCGTATCCTCGGGGGCTGCGATGGTCCCTGCAGTCGCCCTATGCCTTTGCCTGAGGTAGAAAGAAGGCGGCCAGGATGACGATGGAGAGCAGCGAGACGACGAGGCAGTGCACAGCAGGAGGAAGAGCGCTCTGCTCACGACGCCTTAGTAGACTGGCTCGCCTGCTTCTGGATGCCAATACCAATACCGTCGACAGGCGGCTAGCAGGGCCACCCAAGCCAAAGCGGGATAGAGCCCTCTGGGTCCGAGCTTCCCATACCAGCTGGGAGCCAATATTGCGATAAAGGATGCAGGTACCAAACACGCAGCTCTCACCACCGCCTGCCCATCCACGTCGGGCGGCTTTGCACATGAACCCTCTTGCTTCAGGCTCCTAGCCGCCCCCTCTCGCGGCGCCGCTCCCGGCATCTCCCCTCCTCTCCCCCCATCGCCCACGCTGCACCTGCTCGCTTTCGGATCCGGCAAGTGCAATCTTGCAAGTTATCGTTCGCATCACGAGCCCGCAACGGCACCCGGTAAACCACGCACATGCGTCTAACGATCTTCACCGCCAACGTTGAACTAGGGCCATCTCTGCCGGCATCTGCCCGAATACGGCTACCCCGGCCAGTCGTTTAAGACGCTGCATCCCATATTACGACATCTGGCTACCTCCGAGCTTCAGAGCACAATCCCACGTGCGCCCAGCTCCCCGTCGTCTACGCGAACAGGATCACCCACTACTTCGCTATAAGGTAGCTCGCCCGGTATTGACAACTTTAGACGAACCTCCTCCTTTTTTCCTTTTGCACCACAATCTCACACCTGACGACTCACGAGCTCGGAACAATGTCTCAATCCATCAATGTAACTACGACTCAGGCCCAGTCCGGCATCTCCCAAGACCTGCGGAACAACATTTACTCGGCCCTTCTTTCTGGCGATGGCATCCGCAATATTGAATCCACCCTAGACGAATCCCTGCGGGCCTCTGGGTTCAAAGACGATCTAAGAGCCTACATTACCGATCTGTTCCGCTCGGGCCAGGCTACTACCTGCGAGGAAGCCCGGAATCTGGCGATGCAGAAGATCAGAGAGCAAACACGTGGTTTGGAGGATCAATCCAATGGCGTAAACGGTACCAACGGAACGACGAATGGGGATGGAGAAAATGGAGAGGAAGTCAACTTGAAGATTCCTAAATCGGCAATCGACGCCGGTGCAAAGACAGTCATGAAGGAGTTGGAGAAGGTGTGCGACATCACATACGAAGACGACAAGTGATCGCCCCTCCTGCAATCTGAGAAAGAGTCCACCGTCCATGCCACAGCAAAATGCAGGCTCGTGTCGCCCGAGTCAGTGTAGTTGAAGGGGAAGTCTTCAAAGCAAAGGCCTTAACGAACGATACTATCGAGCGCACAGCCGACACCGTTGCAATGTGGGGCGGGCGACATCGTTCAACGGCACCGATGGGTTCCGGCCGCTGTCTCGGGTGATCAAAGACCTCGCCTGTGCCCATGAAACCTTGCCTCATGACCGCTGCGCCAAATGGACAGCGTTGAATCAACCATGTTGGAGGCTCGGCCATTCGTTGAGTATGGATGATTGGTGTAAAAAGTGCACGGTGATGGAAAAGGGAGTCAGGCCAGAGGTAGTAACACAGATCAATACAAGGACATAGTAGGCGCAGCAAAAGTTCATTGATAACATGCATTCTCATTGAGGCCATTGGTTCGTGAAAGATACTACTGATATCCTGTCAAAGCGCTAGCAATTACGCGCGCCTCCATCTATCTATGAGACGTCAATCGCCCCTCATGCCGTGTGATGATGAAAAAGGGAAACCCATCCGTCATGATCCTGCAACTGTCTAGTTGTACAGGTCCTCGTCCTCACCGCCAGCGCCGAAAGTGTTCTGCTCACCACCACCCGCTGCGTTCTCAGCGTCGGGGAAGCGGAAGAAGCTTGATCCACCAGAGTTCTTCATTGACTGTGCGAAGGCCTCGTACCGGCGGATCTCAACATCGGTGACGGAGCGACGAGCAGAGCGCATGGCCTCCTCGAAATGAGCCTTGGTCAGCACAGGTACTGGGTCCTCCTCGTCTACCTCCATGTCGACATCCTCACCAGCAGCCTCGCGAGCCTTGCGGCGCTCGATGTCAATCGCGATAGACTGCTTAATGGCGAGCTTGACCGCACGCTGGGTGACGAATCCAAGATCGGCACCGGAAAATCCGTGGGTGTTCTGGGCGATGAAGTCGATGTTGACATCCTCGGCGACAGGGGTCTTGCGAAGCTGAGCCTTGATGATGCTGGCACGCGACGCCAGGTCGGGCAGAGGAACGTAGACGAGAGTGTCAAGACGACCAGGACGGCACAGAGCATTGTCGAGCTGTTCCGGTCGGTTGGTGGCACCGATAACGAAGACGTTCTTCTTCGATGTCATACCGTCCATCTCGGTAAGGAGCTGGTTGACGACACGGTCAGATGCACCACCGGCATCTCCTTGAGATCCACCACGCGACTTGGCGATAGAGTCCAACTCGTCCAGGAAGACGACGCAAGGTGCGGCGGCACGCGCCTTGTCGAAGATGTCGCGGATGTTGCTCTCAGACTCACCGAACCACATGGAGAGCAGCTCAGGACCCTTGATGGAGATGAAGTTGGCCGCGCACTCGTTGGCAACAGCCTTGGCAAGAAGCGTCTTACCAGTACCAGGAGGACCGTAGAACAGTACACCTCGCGATGGAGACATACCGAACTTGAGGAACTTGTCGGGGTGGTCGACTGGGTACTGCACGGACTCAATGAGCTCGCGCTTGACTTCCTCCAGACCACCAATGTCCTCCCACCGGACGTTGGGAACCTCGACAACGGCGACCTCACGAAGGGCTGATGGGTTGGATACGCCAAGAGCGAAACGGAAGTTCTCCATGGTCACGCCCAGTGAGTCCAGAACCTCGGCGTCGATGGTGTCCTCGTCGAGATCGATGAGGTCCATCTTCTCACGAATCTGCTGCATAGCAGCCTCAGAGCAGAGCGAAGCCAAATCAGAACCAACGTAACCGTGAGTCTCGGCAGCGATGGTTTGTAGGTCGACATCGTCACCGAGCTTCATGTTCTTGGTGTGGATCTGCATGATCTCGAGACGGCCGGTAGGGTCGGGAATACCGATATCGACTTCACGGTCGAAACGTCCGAAACGACGGAGGGCGGGGTCGATGGAGTTGGGTCGGTTGGTGGCGGCCATAACAACAACGTTGGAGCGAGCCTTCATGCCGTCCATGAGAGTGAGCAGTTGCGAGACGACACGGCGCTCGACTTCACCGTTAGTCTTCTCACGCTTGGGCGCGATGGAGTCGATTTCATCAATGAAGATGATCGCGGGGGAGTTCTTCTCGGCCTCCTCGAACGCCTTGCGCAGATTTGACTCTGACTCTCCGGCCATCTTGGACATGATCTCGGGACCGTTGATCAGGAAGAAGAAAGCACCGGTCTCGTTGGCGACGGCACGAGCCATCAGTGTCTTACCGGTACCGGGAGGACCGTACATCAGGATACCACGCGGAGGCTTGATACCGATGGACTTGAAGAGCTGAGGATGCCTCAGTGGCAACTCGACCAACTCTCGGATCTGCGCCATCTGCTTTCGGCAGCCACCAATGTCGTCGTAGCCAACCTCGTTGAGGTTACCCTCCTCGTCCTCGCGCTGGATGGGCTCGCCCTCGCAGTGGATGACCGTATCTTGTGCGACGATACCGAACTCTGGTGGGTCGACCTCGACGACCTTGAACTCCACTTGTCGCATACCGCCGCGGGCTGTGAATGTGTCGCCTTGACGAACCGGTCGGTAGGCTTCGCGGAAGTATGGGGCAAGGAAAACGTCGAACAGCGAACCGGTGATACCCTCGACCGTGTCGGCGATGGGAAGGACTGCAATGCGCTTGGCCTGCAATGGAGTTAGCTTTGAAACAGCATTTCAAAGATGTAGCTACGTACGTATTTGATGTCAGGGCACGGGTGGATAGTGATAACATCACCGTGCTTGACACGCAGGTTGTGGCGAACGACACGGTTTATCCGCGCAGAGCCATCGTCGAGGTCGTCGTCGGCGAGCACGATAAGAACGGTGTCCTTCCGCTTCTTCCCCTTGACGAGGACTGTGTCACCACGGAAGAGCTGGAGCGTCTCCATGGTGTTGTTTGAGAGGGCGATAATCGAGTTGTCATCGTTGACGGCGTCGGTGACACTGCGGAGTCAGTATGGCTTCGTTGTGTCGCTTCGTGGCGTACTTACATCAGCGAGTTTGGCTTCTTCTTCTTCTTGAGGATGGCAGTTGCGGTCTCGTCGTTCTGTGGCGGATCAGTAAAGGCGATCTCAGATGGGTGTTTGGCAGTGCCTACATCCTTGGGCTCAGCGCCATCGGGGTTCCTGGAGTCTTGTTAGTCGCGGTTGCAGAGATGCGGCTGGTGGCAATGCACGTACTTGGAAAGATCCACCTTCGGCTTGGAGTGGTCTGGTTCAGCGGACATCTTGCTGATGTGTCTCTATGGAATGCTGCGACTGTACTTTTCCGGTGCAAAGAGGGACGCCGGGATTTGCAGCGCGGTGGAATGGGTTGTGGGTGGGGTGGGGGGTAAGATGGAGGTGATGGGTCTTTGGTGTTTGGGGCGTGGTGGTTTAAGTAAGTTGGAGCTTGAACAGTGTCGGTGATCTCACTGCTCGAGCTAGCTTGATGTTGCCTTAGGGTCCGTGCTCCTTCCGCCGCCGCAACATTGGAAGTTGCTGGAAACGCTTAGACAAGCCGGCCTACTGGAAACACTGTGTCCCTTTCACCGTCAATTGCTTCCCGCCTCCCTCGGAAGGGCTCCATGCGGGCCAATCAGGCCCGCTTTGTGCTACTTCTCGCATCTCCAGGGTGAGACTGGCGTTGTTACGCGTCCGACTGGAGCCTGCTGCAGCCTCATTCGCGCCACCAAAACGCCAAGAAAGTCACCATATCGGTCCTTCGTCAGTGCGCGCGATAAGTAAACCTACATGTCCGTCAGGTACACGTAGACCATAACAGTCCTGGTACCCGTCCAACGCTTGCCAAATCCTATGCGTACCATGGGTATCTATGGCAGTTACTCTCTGGCACACATAGAAGGAAAGAACCCTTGCTGTTTCACATCACGATACTTCTGGATGTTTTCAGATTGGCGATGGTCCGCCTGCATATTCTAGTCTTTCAGGCTGCTGGCTGTTTTATGGTCCCTGGCCTCATGATCACGTTGCAGCACCGGATAGTGTGGAATTTCCCAACATAAACCTGTTGGTGACTTGCACCACGACGAACTCGATCCATCTTGGTCACGTTCTTCTAAGTGAACAGCTTCGGAGCCGTGTAGATATGTATTAGGATATACTGACTTCTTGTACTGACGTCTTCACACGTCCTGCTGTTGCATTTCAGCAGACGCTGCACATGCTTCCTTCTCCATCTCGCGCAAGCATGGCGCTTGGAACATATTGCCATACACCATGTTCTTCATAGTACCGATAGCGACTAGTAGCCACAAAAGTATGACGCTGACACCAAGTACCGTACCTAGAACTCTGAAGAACGCGGATGGCAGTTCTTGGCCAATAGTAATGGTCGACATCGTGAAGACGCCAATGGGAAAGGTAAATCCCCACCAGCCCATATTGAAAGGGAACTTGCTCCGACTGATTGACGCGACTGCGAAGAATAGCCATACCAAGCCAAAGCCCCATAGCGTGATGGCAGTCATCCAACCTAGGACGTAGAGAACTTCGCCGGCCATTGGATGCAACGTGTTCGTCTCTGGAAAGGTCTTTGAAGCTTGGATTCCGAGTTTCAAAGCGGCGTATCCGCCCTGTCCCATAGGTCCAAGAGGCAGGAAGACACTGACGATTACTTCCTGAGATGGGAGATTATGGATGGCGAGACGGTGGAAGTACATCACCATAACCACGAGCGCCAGTGGCACGCCCATACCCCACAGCACATAGCTGGTGACTATGGTTAGGAGGGCGTGGTTTGGCTCAGGTAGCACTGACGCGACAACGCCACCAGAAGCTGCTGCAACAATACAGGCTACAATGGGTAGGAGCCATGCTGCTGTCATCGTCTCATGGCGATTATGGTGTTTCGTCATCCTATTGCTATGTTAGCTGGTGATGTTACCTCGTTTTTTTTTTTTTAACTTTGAACACACAGTGCCAGACTGTTGTGATCGAAAGCAAGCATGGATCAACTTACATTTGAAAAGGCAGCCAGAGACAACAGGCGACGCTCAGCGCAACATCGAGCCACCACATTCCCCAAACAACATACGGCGTCGAACCACCCCAAGCTGGTACGCAAACCGTAGCGAACATGTTGATGATGGTAGCAAATCCCATGGGTATTGTGCCGAGAAAGAGCGATTGCACCGGATGCTGAAGCATTAGCGTCCACGTGGCGGGGTACAGTGCGTATCTTAGGATGGATATCAAGAGTATGATGGAGAATATGAGGACGTTCAAGATGAAGAACGCGATACTGAGGGTTCTCAACGAGCCGTGGTAACGAGGGTAGAGCTCAGAGAAGGCATTGAGCAAGATCGCGACGATGCCTGTACCCATCGTAACAGCGAACTAGGCTTCGGTCAGTCTTGTATTCTGCTGAAGCTGCGAGGGGATTATCGTACCCATGACGGAGTGAAGTTTTGAACAACGCGTCGCCAGCCCCGACGGTCGGCAGGTATCAGCCACTTGGGCAGCACTTGAGCATCTGCAAATTGTCCCTTGCCGCGACATGTTTCTCCTGGCCGTAGACGAGCCTCACGTTGTATCGCACATGGTGTTGACATTCTGATGAGATCTGACTGGAGGGTTGGGGTTGAAAGAGACCACGGGTGATTGATAATGAGAGATTGAAATCAGAGAAGAGGAGATCACACTTCACTTATACAAACAACCGCAGCTTAGAGTCATTGTGTTTTCAGGCTAGACTTTTCTTACTTCATAATCGCCTGTATCTTCGTCGAGATTTGCTGATTATACGGCTTGCACAGGCCACAACGGCCGGTTCCTCGGCGACGGTCCGAACTTCGTTACGTCAAACTCGACTACTCACACCATCGCGATAGCGTTAGGAATAAGTTCTGTCCATCCACGAATGTTGTGCTAACGATTGTTTGATTGCCATAACTGCGTGATGAAGGGTTTACAGACTGAAGCCGGGAGTCCTTGAGCAATCTGGAAGGGATGATTGATGCTAGCTAAACTAGGTCTAGAGCAAATTTCGGCTTCCGGACTGCCCATGTGCGGAGGTGCGGGCAGACAAGAGCACTTCACGGGCCTACTCGTGGTCTTCGCACTCCAGCCCTGATGAACTCCATCGCTGCAACGTGGTGTCCTGCTCCGCACCGCGGTAGTCGCACCTGCGGGTGGACAAGCAACTCTCGCTGTCAATGCACACGCGTTTACCTAGGGAGTTACATCGCGAAACAACACCTGCTTCGGCATAGTATATCGGTATTGCTGACGTTACTTCCACGGGCCTACCTCCTCACCTGCAACGTCGCGTTCGTTGCTTCACTGCCAGCCAATAGGGGCGTCATCTCTCCTTCTTCCGTCGTAGCACTTTCGCAGCCTATACCATGTACATGCTCACGGGTTTCGTCAGGTATGAGAGATTCCAACCCTATATCAAAATATACCACATCGCGAGCTAACAAGTTGTGTCAAGCCTACGGGTCGAATGTCCCCAATGCGGCTCTGTATTCCTTTCATCGGAAGAGTTAAAACTACATGAATCGATTACACACAACTTCTGTCAAGAATGTTGCCACGAGTTTTCCAACTGGACAGAGCTGAAGTATCATTTCCGTAAACGCGGTTGTGCTTACGTTTGTGACGGGTGCGATGGAATTTGGAGGACTGCTTGGACTTTTCAACAGCATGTTGCAGCATTCAACGTTTGCAATGCATGCGAGCGGCACTTCGACACACCCTCGAACCTAATACATGTAAGTCAAGACCAGCTATCGGGATGCAACCAAGGCTAATTGCGAATTACAGCACGAACTGACACACCGCAAACCTGGCTATGAGTGTCTCGGCTGTACACGCAATTTCACAACCTACGGAGGAATGATCATCCACCTTGAATCTGGTGCCTGCTCTTCCGGTATAGACGCATACGACTTGGCGCTCACCACCGCGAGATGCTTCCAAGGAGGCAAATTCTTCATGCACAAGGAAGATCGAGAGGCCATCAAGCAGGGCATCGACTTGCTGCGAATATTCCGTGAGCAAGGTGGTAGCACTCTTGTCTTCTGTTGTCCTACCTGCGGCACCAATTTCCCAAAATTATCGAGTATGTTCATGCACGTGGAATCGCCTGCTTGCTCTCAGCAGCTGGGCGAAGGGGCAGTTGGCAAGCTCCAAACGTGGCTTTCAAACTGTCACGGATGAAGAACAGCTTCACGACAAGGTTATTACTCATCTCGACGTTTCCAGGTACCAGCAACTTCTATGATGTACATTAACAACGTCCGCGGGTATCCGCATTTGACCTTCACAAATGCTGGTCAGAATTCGTGTCGCATCTTGCTGCATACACATCAGAGAATCCTAAAAAAACGAATGCTTGACAGAGTCATGTATACTTCTTTGCACGAAAAACGCGACACGAGCTGTTGCAGAAACAATGCATTTGTTCGGTATTCCTTTTCACACAAGCTACCTCTATACGTCTAAAGTCTGTAGATTCGAGCCAGTGGCATTCATCCTCGCCTCTGCCATAAGCATCCTCTTCTGGTCCAGGTCGAAGACGATATACGCCCCTTGCATGAATGGGGCACCCAGGCTCGCGAAATCGTCTCCATCCGAAGGAAATATCGGTAGATAGCACCGGGTGCCGCTTGAGGACGAGTCGCGTACCAGCATGGCAGCCAAAGGGGTGCTGACTTTCGCTCGGTTATTGTTGAAACCGAATGAAAGGCTCTCCTCTCGAGAGCCTAGGTCGCACGACACACTACCCAGCCGGCCGGCCTGCTCATCGAACGTCGTACCTACAGCCATAGCTATGGCGCGGAGTGAGGCAGAGGGGACGTTCAGTGCCGGGTTTCCGGTATCGATCAGTACCGGGGGTAGACCGCCTCGTGGTGCTAGATCAACATTGGAGCCAGAAGCAGATGAGTCGCCGCCCACTAACTGCATGGAGCTCCAGTTGATAACAAATTTCGATGCGACTCCATTATTGTTCAGCAAGAACGAACCAGCATCTTGGAGCTGACCTTGGAACTTTGCCGTGTCAACGCCGCCAAACACAATGGAGCCTTCTGGGTTACCTTTCGAAACCATTTGTCAGTATGATACATGGTAAAGTAGATGCCACGACTTACGGAAGTCATTCATGTAAACACCATACACATTGGCGTCGGTCATACCAGCATCTTTGAGTTTGGCGGGCGCGTTCTGGTAAGTCGGCCGGACGACTTCATTCTCAACAGGTCCGATACCTAAGATGGGAAACAGTGGAGTGTCGGCTGGTAGGGAACCTTGTTCGATGACTCCCAGCTGCGCATTAGATATGGTCTGCTTCCCAAGTGTCAATGCGGTAGAAACGAATCGCCCTCGGAACGCAGCACCATTAGCGAAATCGGTGTTTACTTCTACACCGACATCTCTAAGGCTACTATCTTCGTCCGTGTTGAATGAGCCAGTGACGAAAAGAGTGCCGGAGCATTGTTGCTGTTGGTCCTGACATATACGACTGCCAGTCCTTGGGATGATGAGATCGCTGCTTCCCGTATCCAAAACTGCTGTTATCGACTGCGGCGGCGTACCGACTCCTATCGAGATGAGAGGAACGAATGAACCGGCATTGTCGATATGCTTGATAGGTATTGACAAGAGTTTCGGAGTTTGCGCCCGTGCAATTTGCACACCAATGAGGAAAGATATGCAGAAGGCGACGGTAGAGAGCGGAGATGCCATAGCAAGCAAGTAGGACGAATGCACCGACAGAGATGAATAGAACTGATGATGTAGTAGAGTTGCTGGAGGACTAGTCGGACCGGAATGACCTCGCCGTACTTACTTTTGGCGAGCATATCTATACCCAACACACTGGAATCCTACCGAGTATCCCGTAGACAATTAGTCGAGTCATACCGTCTTTGGTAGAATCGGAAGGAGTCCTTTCGCAATGTCGATGCTAATCGTTCAAACTCGAAGGCCAGCAAAAGCACCACCCATTGGCCAGCCTCGAGCCCGTCAATTAGGAATCCCCACAATCGCTGGAAATATCTCTATCGCAATAATCTACCTGACGGCTGCTAGAGAGGTCAAAAACACAGGTGTGGCAAAGTTGCCCGCAAAGGGTCAAGTCTGCCGACAAATGTGAAGGCATCTTGCAGTAATAGTACAGGATACCTTGTCCGCAACCGTCGCTACAATGGAGCTACAGACACCGCGGGCTTCCCACATATATTACTTGTTTCGGAGGATGTTTCACCTCGAATCAGTGGGAGCAAAATGAAAGAGCGAAAATGTAGCAAAAAGAGAGTTGTCTCCCCACCATGAGTCGAACAAGGGACCTTCTGATAACAGCAGATATTACAGTCAGACGCTCTAAACCAACTGAGCTACGGGGAGAATACTTCAAAGCGAAGTCGTGCTTGCTGGATGGAAATTTCGACAAACTTGTCATATATTATGGCGTGTTTGCGGCGAAATTCACGGACTTCGGGTTGTGGCGCGGTGATATGCAAGAGTGGGGTCGAAGCGGTTCGTGTTCCCAACTCGCCGATTGCTGACCTCGGAACTCAAAGCGAAGAACACGACACGAACCGATTCGGAGACACCTAACATCTATACCTGAGTCGAGTTCGATATCATTATCTACAAACCATGCCTTCCCTTATAACCGCCAAACAATCGCTAGAATACACGACTTGAACTATCACTCCTAGCCCCGCCACACCGCTTCAAGCACGCACATGAAGCTCAGCGGGTCTGCTTCCACTCTAACGACATCAAACCTCTCATCAGCCTGCCTGAACACATCCTTCCACGCCTCCACAGGCCTCTCCTTTGCATTGAACAACGCCATCATCCTCAGATCAGTAGCCGTACCAAAGCCCTGTATACTCCTCGGCAATTCCTCCTCGCTCGGTCCCTGCTTACCCACGTAGTCAATGAAGATGACGCGCGCACCAGGTTTAAGTGCAGGCCGAAGCGCTTGCAGTATTTTTACTGACTCGACGTCTGGCCAGTCGTGCAGGATCCATTTGAGGATGTAGATGTCTGCTTCTACGGGCTGCGGATCGAACATGTTGTGTGTGCGGAAGGCAACGCGGGATTTGAGCTCGGATGGGAATTCTTTTTCGAATACTGGAGCGACTTCTGGAAGGTCTTCGACGACGATTGTGAGTTTGGGGAATTTGGCTGCGAGAACGGCGTCGTCGTGGCCTGCGGAACCGCCGATCTAATCGTTGTTAGTAACGGGAATGATGCTGAGATCAGCAGATACTCACATCAACAACTGTGACTTCACCGACAGCCTCCCAATCAACAGCATTGAGCATGATGTTCTCGGTGTGAAAGAGGTCCTTAATGTACGCCATGAACTTGACAAAGTTCCTCTGCCGCCATCCCTTCTTTTCACCTTCGCCATCGTTCTCAATGAAGTCCCAGCTGTTATCATAGTCACCCCACGCACCGCCAGAGTGACAGAGCCTGAAAGCGGTCTCCTTCATGTCTTTACTGGGTTCTGCCTTTCCTTGCGAAAAGCGACGCAGAGCTTCAGGGAGCAAGAGCATGGGCGGACCCGTTTCGTCCAACACCGTCTGCACCAGCGCTGACAAGCCAGGGTCCTTAGCCAGTGCGGCAGACCGTGAAGTGTGTTTGACTGAGGTTGCTGCAGGCGAAGCTTTGGCGAAGAAACGCATCGTAACCGCATGATCGATGACACGGCTCACAACCTCCAAAGGCAGCTTGGTGTGTCTCGCTATCTCTTCAAACGTCGCCTCGCCATCCACCGGCACTGCGCCCCAGAAGTCGAACTGATTCAGGATGTTCAAGCACGCCGTGTCTGGGACGGCCATATGTACGTAGTTGAACACACTCTCGCTCGGTCCTTGGCTCAGAATCCACATGTCCTTCAACGCATCCTCGAGAAGTTGTCGAGTCATGAAGACATCCCCAGGAAGCTTCTCGTACTTGATCGGACTGTCGGCCTCGAGGGTGATGGGTGTTACGTTCTCCGCCTCCAGCTGCTTCGTCATCTTAGCAGCTAGCTCGCTGATTTGAACCGCGAGGCTGTTGAGTGTTGCGATCTCATGCTGTTGAATAGAACCCATGTCGACGCTGTCTGGATCAGACCTGGAGCACTTGAAGGATTGGAGTAGGGGAAGCTGTGCCCTTCGTTTGAGGCACAACTATGGCCGCTATATGTCAACTCTCGCCGGGACCCGAGTAGGAGCTGTCTCCGTCATCGGGACAGAGGCACCCCAGTACATTGACCTTACACTAGTATTTTCTCATCATGCTATACTCTGCATCTTTTGCTCATGGCAACTGGCTAGCCAAAACGATTGTAGACGACGGAGGATGCAGCTTTTGATTGGTACGAATCAAGTAGGCAGTCGCGCGAAGAGAGTATAGGGCTAGAGCGAGCTCGGAGTCTCGTCCGCAAACATGTACTATCAAGGCACGATGTTGTGGCCGCTGCATCGCGAGTGGTACGATGATGAAGCCCACGAGCGCTAATCAGATCATCTTATCAATCTGATAAGATTTCTTCCAGATCTAGGCCTGGGTCGCCGAGGCAAGCCACTTCAGCTGCTGCCGCTTACAGGCAGCGCCCCGCATCACGCGTGAGTCTGAACGAAAATGAATACGAGCATTGTGGGCCCTATTATGATGATTAGTGATAATTTACCCTGAATTGCGACTGTGATGAAGCGTGAGAACTCGACGAAGAAACATATCACAGATGCACGACGTTGGGTTGGTGACATGATATTCCAACACACGCGCCTGCGAAGGACTTCTGATCGTAGAATTACAAGGGTAAATGCGTTTTATTCCGAGACATACCACGTCCCTCAGACGGATGTGTTACGTCGACTCCATATCAACATCGCGGCTCATTTATGTCGTCTAGAACAGCTCATCTAAACCCCGCGGCGCTATGCAAGCACAAATCCATCAAACCCCCCAATTAAACATTCGATCCAAAGAAATATGATAATATCAACATCCTATTTTCGTCCAATGAGCTTGCTGAGCCCACTCTTCTTCTTCCCGTCCTTCTCCTTCTGGTCTTCCTCCTTTACGCGCGCATCCTCGGCGGCACGCTCGTCCTTTGTCGGTACTCTGGGCTGGTCCGCGAAGCGAATACCAGGTGTGCGTGGCGTAGGTGAGAGTGTCTTCTGGCTAGGCTCAGCGGCACGTGAGTGTGTACCACGGCCAGTTTCCATTGGGTCACCAGTCTCCTCATCTTCGGAGTCAGACTCGGGAGTATCGTCTTTGCCGACACCGAGAGCGCCCAGACGACGCCTTCGCTCCGCTGCTGTTTCGCCTTCAAACCCTTCTTCAGGCTCATGTGATGGTGGAATAGCGGAACCGCCTGAAGTTTCAGCCGGAATGTTCTCTGCAGCTAGGCGGCGTCGGCGTTGTGCCGCGGTCTCGCCACCCTGATCATTAGGTCGGTCCTCGAGATCCTGACGTACAGAGTGGAATGGTACATGCTCGTCGTTACTGTCCACCAGCGTCAACCCTTCGGGGCCACGTGCGTGACCCTCCTCCCTGGCTGCTGGCGACTCGATCTTGTGAAGTTCTGCCTCTCCCTCTTCACCGACAACCGGGGGAACGTTCGCTTGCACGGAAGCTGCCCGACGGCGCTGTTCTGCAGTGTGATCTTTGGCGTCCTGATGGGCGGCATCCTTGACTGCTTCAGGAACATCGCTAGCTTGCACAAACTTCGCCCTGTCTTTGGGGTTCATTTGCGACATTTGCTGAATAAACTCAAGCTTGCTCATGCGACGACCACCAGCTGTCACGGTGAAGCGAAGTAGGTCGTCATCTTCCTGCTCTTTCGCCGCCAATTCCGCTGCCTTCTGCTTCTTTTTGTTGTTTGCGGCTTGAGTGCCGGAAGCTCCAGCTTGTTGCCCCGCGGGCACGCCCATGTGAGTTCCCATCCGCTTCAGACTCTGTACAGCACGGCTTGATGTCTCCACCATGGACTGACCGCGAGGGTTTGCAGGACGACCATCCTTTCCTTTCTTCGGGGCAGCTGGAATGTCATACTTCTTCAAGACCTCACCATCCTCGTCTTCGACAATAATGGTATTACCATATTGGTAAGCAAGAGCGGGGCCATGCTTTCCGGACTTTTGTGCCGACTTCTCCGCCTTTGGAGGTTCCGCAGCCTTGTCCTTGTGACCATGGCCTGTGTAGCTTTGCATTCGATTGCGCCAGGTTTTGTGAGGGTGTTCAATGGCGTTCTCAATCCGGCTAGGTGCTTCTTCAAGGGCACCGCCGTGCTCGTCTTGTGACACGCCACCCTGAACATGCTTTTGACGCATGAGCTCTTGTGCCCTCTCACTATCGTGCCTTTGTCTCTCGATGCCGTGCTCGCCATGACTGTCTCTTACGCCGAGAACGTTCCCTTCTTTGTCTTCAAAGACGGTCTCATGGCTCTCCTGGTAGATCTCTTCCTCTGGTATCCGCCTCTTCATCTTTCCTTTCTCGCTTGACGAACTGTCGCTAGAGATGGCCATTGTGTCAGCAAATGTATCGGTGTCTTCCTCGGGAGGTATCGCTTCCGCCTTCTCTTCGTCGCGTTTACTGGGTGCGATAGCGGACTGCGAAATGGGTCCACCTGGACCTCGACCAGCATCCCAACGCCTTCCTCGGCTCGTAGGCTTGACAGAATTGCTGTCCTCTTCCTTCTGACGGCGCAGGAAGCTATTACCGAAACCCACCGCTGC